CCTACCGCGCGACCTAGCAATTGACATTGCAGCACGGTTTCTAGAGCAAACTCCTATTAACATTCCAACACAGCATTTTCCAGACATACTAAAGCTTTGCCTTAATAATTATTGTCAGTTCGATTATAAGTACTGTCAACAAATAAATGACACGTTAATGAGCTCGCTAATAAGGGGGCTGCTTACAGAACTAGTCTGGCAGCAACTGGAACAGGATATTGTGTAAACCTTCGAAACAAAAATGCGGCTCCGCCTCGTGGACGATACATTTGGCGCCATGAAGACCATAGACAGCTTGTCCTTGCGGTTGATTGCAAGCTGGTGTTCATGCAATCTTGTGCTAAGACGTTTGCCCGTTTCCCCAACATACCTTGCATCACAGTTTTGGCATGGTATGCTGTAGACCACCGCTGATTGTTCTGTCACCGGTAGCGGGTCTTTGGGTCTCATTATTTGCTGTCTGATTGTTGACTCTGGCTTATGAGCCACTCCGATTCCGAAAGGCTTCAGGATTCTTGCCGTCGCCTCTGACACGTTTTTCACATAAGGGATATCGAGCCAAAATTCCGGGTTTTCTCCGTCCAACCGCTCAGGGTGGGACTTCTTAAGACGCTTGCGTATGAAGGACTTGGGATAACCGTTGGCTTTAAATAGGGCGTGCAAGTACTTAATCTCCTCCTTCCTCCCATTGTCGTCGCTGCAATGTGTTTGAACGCGTTGGAAGAGGGTTCTGACACAACTGCGTTTGTGACCAACGGGGTGGTTGATCCTCAAATGGAGGATTCGCCAGGTGTTAGTTGGCTTACGGTAGACCGTTGTCCTTATCTTCCCGTCCTCCAGCTTTGTCACTTGTACGTCAAGGAAGGCCAGCTGATTGTTGAGCTCTTCTTCCATAGTAAACTGGATGTCGGGAAAGATTGAATTCAACAGTGCCTTGAAAGCCTGCACATCGCCCCTTTTGATGATAACGAAAGTGTCGTCAACGTATCTGGCCCAGAATTTTGGAGGGGTACGAGCTGAAGACCAGCCGCTCAAGCCTCTGCAAAACTGCTTCGGCAATTAATCCAGATAGAGGCGAGTCCATCGGTGTCCCCTTCTTTTGCTCGTAGACCTGGCCGTTGAATGTAAAGAACGTCTTAAGACATAGTTCTAGGAGCTCGATGATGTGAACTCGTTTGAGCTGTTGATCGGTCTCATCATACTTTTCCCGGAGAAAACCGTCAATAGTGTCGATAGCCAGCGCGGGTGGAATGGAGGTGAACAATGAGATCACGTCAAAAGACACCATCACCTCATCTGCCTCCAATTCCAGACGTTTGATGCGCGCCAAAAATTCTTTAGTCGACTTCACTGTCCACTCTGAATCCTTGGTAAGGAAACACAGTCGCTGGTACAGCCACTTTGACAGCCCAAAGTTTGGTGTACCACGTAAGGAGACGATGGGGCGTAGCGGCAGTCCCGGCTTGTGGACCTTTGGTAAGCTGTAGAAGCGCGCCATTGCGGCATCACTGGCTTTTGCGCCTGCCTTCCTCAGCTTGCAGATCGTCTTGTTTATGCTGTTTACGAGCTTTTTGAACTCGCTGACAGTCGATGGCGCATTAGCTTCCTCGTCCACCAAGAGGTTGTCTAGTCTTTTGCAGTACTAAGCCTTATCCATGACGACAGTAGAGCGCCCCTTGTCGGCGGGCAGGGTGACGATATCCTCTAGTCTTCGTATTTTCAGAAGTTCTCGATCTTCTGCCTTAGAAATCGTCGTCTGGCGTTTATGTTGAAGGAGTAAAGTCGACACTTTTTGTCGCATGGCGTTTTTGCACTCCTCGCCTGCCTCGCACTTCTGGAGCGCCGATTCGAAGGATGCAATAAAGTCTTTTGGTCGAGCATCTCTTGTGCTGAACTTTGCGTCATAGGATAGAATGGCTAGTTGTTGCTGAGTGAAACGATGGGAGGACAAGTTGTGAACCAAGACGCCATTAGTGCAGGGCTCCTTTGGCGGACTTATTTTCTCAAATTTTCCAGACAACTGGTCATCACGCAATTATCGGTGATGCCGTGTACTGTCGAGAATTGCCGCTTTGAGGATTCCCAGCTCGTGTGCCGTAAAGATCGACTGGCAAGTTGAGGAATGCTGCTCAATCATCTGGCGGTATTTGTGAATGCGAGCGTGGCAGTCTCGTATCAGCACTCTGATCATTTTTTTCTTGATGTCTGCCATCGTCCGTTGGCAAAGGTCAGAGTACACAGACGGTCTATATCTGAGGCACTTTGGTAGGACGTTCTCATCAAGGCACCTCTGCAGGAATTTCACCTGAGCTTAGGTGGAGGACTCTCGCTTCGCGAAGGTCTCCCATCTGCGTACTGAGCGGAGGGCTGAGCGCCTATAGCATACATTTAAAGCCAACGGTTATCCCAAGTCCTTCATACGCAAGCGTCTTAAGAAGTCCCACCCTGAGCGGTTGGACGGAGAAAACCCGGAATTTTGGCTCGATATCCCTTATGTGAAAAACGTGTCAGAGGCGACGGCAAGAATCCTGAAGCCTTTCGGAATCGGAGAGACCCAAAGACCCGCTACCGGTGACAGAACAATCAGCGGTGGTCTACAGCATACCATGCCAAAACTGTGATGCAAGGTATGTTGGGGAAACGGGCAAACGTCTTAGCACAAGATTGCATGAACACCAGCTTGCAATCAACCGCAAGGACAAGCTGTCTATGGTTTATGGCCACGTCAAACAGCAGAACCACAATTTCGCCTTTGAAAAGGCAAGGGTAATCGGCCGAGCCAATGATAAGATGGCCAGACGGGTGCTCGAAATTTGGTCCTCCACTGGCACACTCAACAGAGCCATAGATCTGCATCCCGCCTATCAGGCGCTACGTACAAGGCTCGAGTCAGTGCGGACAAGGCCATCAGGACAGTCGAGCAAAGTGACGCGTGGCCGACAGCCGATGTCAGCAGAAAGTGGGAGAGAAGCCGGCCGGGAATCATGTGACCGGCATGCGACGCCACCTCACCGCAACACCCACGAGGCTGAGATCAACTCACATGAGCCCCAACAACTATTCAGTCCGTCGAGTGACGAGGGGGAGGCCGACAAACATGCTGGCTCACCAACAATTACGACGGCCGAAAAAGGGGTCATTAGTGGCAGGAACCCACCGGCGGTCAATCGTGGAGAGGTCAAAGCTAATCGGCGGCGAACGGGCAGGTCAAAGTTCGTGCCTCGCGCTCGGATATAATACCAGGCAGGTATCAAGGCTGACGCAATCAAGACCAGCAGGAACAGTCAACGCATTACTCTGATGATGGAAACGAGAGGGTTTCCGAAACGTCAGTACAAATATAACTCTCTCCATGAATCCGCCCCATCTTCTTCTTCGTCTTCTTCGGGGGATTATGAACGGGATATATATACATATATCTCGAAAGAAAACAGCTCTTTGGGAAATATTATACAAGTTTTATTGTAAATTTTCGAACTTGGTTCCCCAAGTCGTCTTCAGACGTGAAGTAAGTGTGCAACACAGTTAACATTTGAACATGCCGAAAAATCGATTTTGCCTTGTTACTCCTGCTGGTGTGATGTTCTGATTGGCTAACGATTCTTCCACTTTTCTTTGAGGCTGTTGTACACCGTATCCAATTCTACGTGTCGATTGATGCACGCGCTGTCAGAATGGATGGCCTCTAAAAATTCACGGCCTTTTTTTGATGAGCAAACACCAACAATGCGAGTCTTGTCCCATGCGAATTTGTGGCCCGTTTCCAACGTATGCATGTGGTGTGCATTCCGAGATAATACGATGAAGATAGAATGCTCTTCTGAAAAAGTTGAGTTGTACTCGTTAATTTTCGAGCTGGTGAAACCAACCCGTCGGCAGACGAAATCAACGGAGGAGTGGCGTGACAGGGCAACCACTAATAGGTAAGCAACTAATGTATGAACATGTGGATGGAAACATCATTAGCCTAGGGTCTGTGGTGGGGTAGGGAAGAAGGAACTGTTGCGGCTCCCTGTATTATAGAGCAGGTGGGAATGACGATTAAATGAGACTTCGGACGGAATACTTAATGATCGTCGATCCGGCATGCAGGTAGAAGTCAGTGATCTAACTTAGATGTGTTAGGGATTACGCTTGCGGTTGGCTGTTTCTGGGGTAGGGGGTGGCGAAATAGTCCGATTATACAGGGCCCGGTATGCACAATAAACTTTCTTTTCCCAAAGCACACATTTGACTTTAACTTATATTTCTTGGGATGCCTACCTTCCAACATCTGCGTATTAATTACGATCGCAAAGTTTTGTTTCAAGCCAGACGGTGGGAAAAATGTGCGATTCGCGAAATTATAACGCGGGAACATTTAACATTCCTACACTGATGCCGAAACAGGAAGATCTTGCCAAAGACTGTACGGGTGAAGCCGCCCGTTAAATCTACCCTGGGATATTAAACTGCATCTCATTACGGCTGAAGAATGCTTAGTGCGTTCATAACCGATGCCAACTACCGACTTCAAAAATTCCAAGTTTCTAAAGAGCAGCACATGCAGTTTTGCCGTGACCAACTCCCTTCACACTTATTAGAATCCCTAGACGACACGACTACACTTGTCTCAGATCTTGAACGACAAAAAAGAGGAGCATTTTAGACAGAAAAAGGATAGCTATCTCACAGCAGACCGATGCAGACCAGAGGCGTCCAAAGAAGGTCGTAAATCTCTCCTCGAGAACGCTAACAACGACAGAAGAGAGTGTGCTTTCCAAGGGCCTGAAGTACAATCTTTCTGACTAAAACTACTTGGACTTCCTTGCGAGCTTAGAATCCACCATTTCGGCGGCGAACCTTACGAAAAACAACCTGTTTACCATCCGAAACAGCACTTCACAAGCCTTAAAAAATCGAACTTATTTTCCAGTACTATCATTTGAAGAAAAGAGTGCGTTAAAGAGTCTACGAACTGACAAAAATATTATCATTCTCCCTGCAGACAAGGGGGGCTCAGTCGCAATTTTGAACAAAACGGACTACAATAATAATATGATATCATTGTTAGAAGATGCAACTACTTATAAAGCACTTTCAGCAGACCCTACTAAAGCACATATATCATCCATTGATAAAGTGCTCAAGCGGCTTACTGGGAAGAAGCGACAGTCAAGAGATATAGCGAAATCCCTAAGACAAAATAAACCGACCATCGCGATGTATGGATTGCCTAAAATTCACAAGACGGATGTCCCACTACGACCGATAGTATCATTAATCGGAGCACCGAACTGCAAAATCGCCAAGTGGTTATTCCAAAAACTTTATCCGCTAACGAGGAATTGCGGAACTTAGATTGAGAACTCAAATGAGTTTCTAGAGAAATTGAAAGGAATCACGATCTCTTCTGATGAAATAATGGTTTCCTTCGATGTCGTATCCCTCTTCATATCGATACCCATAGATGTGACAAAACAATGCACAGAAGAACTACTGATGTCCTATGATATAGCAGTTCCCGCAACTGCTGTGCTCGAATTCATAGGCCTATGCTTGGAAACCAACTACTTATTCAACCAACAGTTTTATCAGCAACTGAAAGGGACTCCTAAGGGGTCCCCAATTTATGGTTTTCTCGCGGAAGTCACAATGCAGAAACTGGAGACTACGGCTTTTCGATCAATTAAACCTAAATTGCGGCTGCGATATGTAGATGACACATTTGTTGTCGTTAAAAAGGACCAATCGGAAGCGCTCCACAACAATATAAACTCTACTATTCCAGAGATTACGTTCGCACTCGAAAAGGAAGTCGACAGTAAACTGCCTTTCCCGGATACTCTCGTACAACGAAAGACTGACGGAACACTACGTACATCAGTTTACCGTAAAGACACTTACTCCGAAATCATTCTACCTTAGGAGAGCAATCAGCCAATCTCTCGCAAACGGGGTGCTGTCAAAAGTCTGCTTAATCGAGCAAAAACACATTGCTCTGATGAAGAAGGCTATCATGATGAACTAAAATTCTTGTGTGAATTGTTTTCGCGGAATGGGTACCCTAGAGATTTTGTGCGCCGATGCATGAGGCATAAAGAGTCGAAGAGAAAGGAGCCAGACGGCCGAACCAAAAACTTGGCGAACACTTCAGTACATTAAAATGTGTCCGAACTCGTTGAAAGACACTTAAGGAAGCACCAAAGTATGGTGGTGCACCGACCGACGACTACTTTGCGCTCTCAGCTCGTGCACACTAAAGAAAGGGTTAAATATCTGGACAAAAAAAGTCTTTTACAAGATCCCTTGTGATGCTTGTGATGCCGTCTATTGCGGCCAAACTGGAAAATGCGCCTCTACAAGCATCCACGAACATCAGTTGGCATTGAAGATTCGAGACCACCTGTCTCAAGTGGCCATGCACACCCTGGACACCAGGCACACTTTCGTTTGGGAGAAAACTCGCATTATCACTGTGCCTCTCCAAGAAAGGCGATTGTTCCTTGAGGCCATGCA